CCTGAAATCTCAAGTACACATGTTGGTTTCAACTGAAGATGTGCTGCTGTTACGGGCAATGGAAACCATCAACACCACGTCAAGTTCTCTAATGATTATGATCTAAGTAAAGTTGATGTAGAATGACTGTGCGGTGGAAAATTGTCTACTTGATGTCTTGTACTCGTAGCTGCTGATGTCGACGTCGTCACTGAAACTGGCCTGGTTCTTGTGTGTTTATCGAACGCCTTCTTATCATGCTTCAATATTGTTTAGCTCATGACATCCACGTTAGTTTGCTTATGTAGTTAGATCAGTATCAGTAGTCCAGTTTGTACTACAAACATGTAAATACCTTTGCACTGTTCACCTGTACTTAGCCCGATGGGGCATGAATGTACAATAAATGTTATTTATTATTATTAAACATTGTACGTTGAATACTGTGGAAGACGAAACGCATTTTATCACAAATTGTAACCTCTATAGCAATGAACAAAATTAACTCTTTGACGTAGCCTCCAAATTCTACCCCAACTTTCACACATAACCAAATGAAAACTACTCTCCTCTTAACATCCGAAAACCCACAAATCAAAAAAGAAGTCAAACCCAGTAGTTTTTATTAGTAGTTTTCCTAGTAGTTATCAGTAGTTCTATGTGTACTAATTCTCTGTTTTTATACCAAATGTTTCTTCTGTTCTTTCAATTTACCCTCGGCAAGAATTTGCAATAAAACTTGTTAAAACTTGTTATTACCCCCCCCCCCCCTTCCCTCCAGGAGTGGACGCCGTGGTTCTGCGGCCGCCAGAAAGCGGTCGTCAACTTTGTGTGTGACGGTGATCAGGAACGTATTCTCACGGAGATCGAGCAGCACTACAACACCCAGATTCAGGAGATGCCTTCTGATCATATGATATTATAGCATCAACCTTTTGCTAGTCTCTACCAGACTAACCACGCTGGCTATACCTAGAACACTGTGACTTTGAGCAGCGCTCCACTATTAGTAAAATTAGAATCAGTGCCCACCCCTTGGAAATCGAAAAAGGGCGATATATGAAACTACCTGTGTCGGAGAGAATTTGTAAATATTGCTCCAGCGTTGCCACCTATGGAACTTCTGATGTCCGGAATCTCACATGGATCCGGACTTGCTCCTCCTCGTCCAGCGTTGCCACCCATGGAACTTCTGATGTCCGGAATCTCACATGGACCCGGACTTGCCCCTCCTCCTCCAGCGTTGACACCCATGGAACTTCTAATGTCCGGAATCTCACATGGGTTCGGAGGAGTCACTCAGCCCTCGCCAACTTCAATGCTGTCCCCAGGTCAGGGACAAGGTGGTGGTACCTTCATGAGGAGTACGACGGCTTCCAACAAGATGACGCACAAGACTAAGGTCACAAAGGGTGACGAAACGGTGGAAAATGTGGCAGAAGCCGGTCAAACAGTGGCTACTATGGAGGCTGGCCACATCCCTGCACCGCCACCGCTACCGACTCGGGAGCAACTGAGGACGTATAGCCTTGCACAAGCCGTACCTCAGCCTAACATGGCGAAACAGTTGGCAGGTCCTTTGGCTTTAGTTGTCCCTCAGTCCCCGACGACTTCAATGCTGTCCCCGGGCCATGGACAAGGCGGCGGTACCTTCATGAGGAGCACGACGGCTTCTAGCAAAATGACGTCACTGATGCCGAGGTTCTAGAACAGGTCTTTGGCCGTGGGGAGGGGGGCGCATGAGAAATAACTACAGTAGTTTGATTACAACTACAATTAAAACTCCGCTATTGAACATAAGAGCTTCTATGCCGTTAAAAAGGTACTTTGGTCCCATGCTAATTTGATTTGATCTGACTTAGGTAAGACAGCTCAGATAAATATATATAAAGGTATGTACGTCGAACAGTAATGCTATCTATATTAACATTATCACTCTTAGAACAACTTAACTATCATTAAACGATTGAAAGTATTCTTACCTTTCTCCTTAGTTTGTCTACTACAGATGATCCTGAAATCTCAAGTACACATGTTGGCTTCAAGTGAAGATGTGCCGCTTTTACGGGCAATGGTAACCACAATGTTAAGTTCTGTAATGATTATGATCTAAGTAAAAGTTGAAGTCAAAGTGCGGTGGAAAATTGGCGTCTTGATGTCTTGTACTCGTAGCTGCTGATGTCGACGTCGTCACTAAAACTGGCCTGGTTCTTGTGTGTTTTGCGACAGCGGCCATCGACTCAGAAACAGACAGCTTGATACAGAAGACCATCCACGACGCCTTCACAGACTGCACCATGTTAACCATAGCTCATCGGCTCAACACCGTGCTGAACAGCGACAGTATTATGGTCATGGAGGATGCTGTAGCTACATGTACAGTACTTGTGGGGGAAACTCACTGCGTAAGTTAGGCCACATCGTTTTAATTTTATGGATGACCACGCCGGGCGCATTGATTTTCACCTGTTCTAAAAAAAAAAAAAAGATCACGTTCTCCGAGGCTCTAGCGACAATACGGAGCCCGTGGTAACTCTGGAGGATGGCAGCCAGGCTAGCGAAGCTCCATGACTCAAGAACTGTAGTCGATTAATTAGTTCAATCTTTATTAGTTCAATCTTTATTGCGCAACAATTGCAATGGATACAATGTATGGCAAGTGTTTAAATCAAAAGATAACAACAATACTAAAATTAATTGAAGTTGTTTATTGCAAATTCCTGCCCGAGGGATAATTGCATACAGACATTGACAAGAAAATGTGATGATACATGTATAAGACTATTTGCTGACAGGAACTTCTACGTGTACGATATACTTATCGAACCTACTATCTCTACATAAATCTAATAACGTTGGTATACATACAGGATAAAAAAAAAAGTAAATATGCAATATGTGAACAGGTAATAGGAACAATGTGACTGCTATTCTAATCTATTCTATCTTATTCAACTATTCTTGTCATGCTATTAGGGGGTTCACTTCTTCTCAGGAGGCAGTGGGAGATGAATTGTCCGACTCTTTGAAAAATAAATGGGTTGGTGGACTTTAGCAATAATATAGTCTTTTGTTGTTGGTTGAGATATGAAAAACTTGGGGAAATATTGGCGACATCTTTGAATAACTTTTTTTTCAAAATCGTAATGAGGACACTGACAGATAAAATGCATTTAATTATTATTAAATGCATTATTATTATTTAATGACAGATTAATAAATTTCACAAAAAGCCAGCATGTGCCGGCTTGTCGTATATGTCACCAAGTACTTCCGCAAATTCACAATACCAACTTTGTATTCCTGTGGTTTAGTAGCATTTATTTTTATTTTTGGCCGTTTTTTTTTTTTATTCGCCCGCGCGGACTAGTTTGGGGGTCTTCAGAGGATAACATCCATAAAATTAAGTCGGTGTGGCCTTAAGAAAGAGTAAGGGCCGGACGTGTGTGGAGAGTGTTTTTGTATAGGTGTGCGTCTATGAGTGTGTTGCAAGTTCTTCTTCTAGATTGTAGTGATCAGGCCGCACACTGGACTTTTACAGGAGCATCGTGCTTTACGGTGCACACAACAGTTCTTCCGACGATAGTCCGACTGGTAAAAAAGTGACGAAAGGGTTTTGAGGGTCCAAGTTTGAGGTGACATTTCTCATAAACTGCCATGAAATATCATAAAACATTAACATGGCTGAAGAGTGTAAGAAATGGTGATTTTGGGGTAAAATTTTCTTTTGGCTCCGAACCTTACTTCCGGGTATCCTTGCGCGCCAAGTGCAATCCGCCCGTTTGACCTAGATTTCGCTCTGCGCCTTCCTAGTCGCGGATTTGCAACCCCTCGCGCTGTGGACGATTTAAAAAATTACAGTGCAAGAATTTTCTTTATAATTTACTCGGGTATAGTCAAGGATTGGGTCTTTCTGCCAGCATCAGTCATTTCTGCCGGAAAATTTTTCTTGTATGGGATTATCCTACGTGAAAATTCGCAATTTTGTGCATTAATTTGGAGTGAAAATAATGTTTTTTTCCATTGATTTTACAAAACTTAAAAAGGTTGAAGAAACCAAACCCAGCTGGTCTTGTAGCTGAAGGGATATCCTTTCGTCCCATATACAGTTATTCTCCTTCCAAACTACTCCACGGCAGAGACGGTCGCTAGTTTTGAGGGTGTGCAGCTTCGAATAGACACGCCAAATAAACTGGGGTGTGCCCACTTTATTGTGTTGCCTCCAGGACTCTAACTCCAGAGTGAGGTTCCTAGGTTGGACTATTCTACTTCTAAGATAGGGGGTTGCGTAACAGGACTAGTCTACTTCTCAAATAGGGGCTTTCTTGTATGGTAGTGCACATATGGATCACAGTGGGTTCACAACACTCACCATTGAAATGCTTCAAGCTTGAAGGACCTCCTAGAAGTATACTTTGTTGGTGTTGCATTCTTGATACTAAGACAGATACCATGAAGTACTTTCTATATTCTATATCTACTCGGACAATGCTTCACCGTGGGTTGTCCGCGATATATTTCACGTTGCTGCAAAGGTTCCTAACAATCGCAGAGTTCTTACAACAAACTCTAGAACGTCCTAAGGCCCATTCGTACAATATGCACGCAGACGCAGACCACCTGCAATTACTGATATTGTCACCAAGACCACTAGATTCTTGGGACCACTATACCACGTACGTACCATGCAGTCATAAACATATGGCACATATGTCAACGTCAACAGAATACATATGATTGGATGGCCAAATAGATAGATGAATTTTTCTTGGTATTTGTTTTATCAGCAGTACTTAAAGAAAAACTTTAAATTTATAATGGTGAGTTCTTTTGATTCTCTGTATTTCATCAAGTCAGTATTCGTTGAATTTTTCGCTGAACACTAGTACTATTCCTATTTAATAAATGAGATGTAGACATGCACACTGGCATTGGTCATGGCGAACTTTGCCCTTTGCTCACCTCAAATAATGACTGTGGATCAGAAAGAGGCGTGCCAAAATCAAAGTCCAGCATAAGGATAGGTTCCGACAATGGTTAAGCCACTGTACCTGTTCTACTGTGCAAGCCTGGCTGGCTTATCCGCCATTTTAGGCTTGTTGTTGTTGTTGTCCCACTGTGCACCTGTCCTGTACTACCTGTGTACGGGGATACTGATGGGTTCAGTGGGATACTGTCTGGTTCTGTACTTGGCGCCAAAGAGCCGAGTTAACGGGAACGGCAAAGCTGTCTTCATTACAGGTAGGACTTTGAACACCTGCAGTCGTGAGCATGTTCACCTTTGGTCTTTGTATTCTACCAAAACTCTTTAAAAAAGTTTTTGTAAGGTATAGACGGATGATTGACCTTGAATGCTTGACTTTTTAACAACAGGATGTGACAGTGGTTTTGGATTTGGACTTGCCAAACGCCTGGACTCGCTGGGGTTCACGGTGTTTGCCGGCTGTCTGCTAGCAGACAGTGGTGGGGAGGGGTCGAAGAAACTCCGTGCTGAGTGCTCGAGCAGGCTGAGTACTGTTCAGATAGACGTGACTGATGATGGACAGGTGAAGGCCGCTGTACAACAGGTCAAAGATCGACTACCCACGGGGTCAAAGGGTGACCACAATCGTATTTTTTGGTCAATTTTTACATAAAACATTATAAACATGAAGACCTTGTCTTTTACTGTGTCTTCTGGTAATATGAGAATATATCAGAAATATTATCTTGTTGCTTCAAGGTCTTTACGCACTTGTAAACAATGCTGGAGTCACGCAGCCGGGAGAGGTAGAGTGGGTCAGCATCGCCGCCTACCGACATGTGATGGAAGTGGACACCTTCGGTACCGTGCGGGTCACCAAGGCGTTCTTACCTCTGATTCGTCGGGAGAAAGGTAGTTATCATAAGGGACTTCGTGGCTTTAACTCAATCAGTGGCTCTTTTTTTATCAACACACCATTACATATAAAGTGACGTGCGCGGATTTTACCAGAAGCATTTTTTATCAAAATAATATACTGTTTTATAGATGTTGTTTTCTTTGTTAGGACGCGTTGTGAACATCTCCAGTGTGAACGGGCTTTACCCAAGCCCGATGGCGGGTACCTACAGCATGGCCAAGGCGGCTGTAGAGTTTTTCTCTGACGCTTTAAGGTAAATGTACTGTCATAAATTCTGTTATGCGTATTGCTCATCACTCAAGAGTTACAGCATTTCTATTACGATTGTAATGTAACGTTTATAGATGATGTATGGATTTTTATGAATTTGAATTTTGTATGAAATTTATATGATTATGCACAACCTCTGCTGCAAGGTCTGCCTTGCCCCCCCCCCGACGACCAGTGTCGGCCATGTGACTAGCAAATCATTATATTTTGATGCGTCTAGACAAACCCTGTATCACGAATATGATCTGCTGCCACATTTTCCACTGTACAAAAAAGCGAGAAGAAGTTGACCTGTCTGTATTTTTTTAGCTCAGTGACTAGAACACTATGTACTAGCCTAGTATAGTACCCTTGTATGTTCCTTATGTATGTATGTCTAAGTCAAGTAGTGCATCTTTTGTCTCCAATTTTTCTATATACGTTTGTTATGTGTCTGTCATACTCAGTATCATGACCTGTACCTAGCCCGTCGTGGTATGAATGTACAATAAAGGTATTTCATTTCATTTCCTTATACTATAAAATAGAATTTTCTCGCCATTTTAAGTACGAGACAAAAGCAAAAAAAAAAAATAAGACTGATTTCAGAAGTTATTCCCAGGCTGGTGGCCCTGAATATCAGTCCCATATATTTTTGTTCTTAAGAAGTTTATCCAACTTATCCAACATACATGTACCCCCAATACAGGCATGAGATGCACAAATGGGGTGTCAAAGTCGTCATTGTGGAGCCAGAGAGCTTTGCACGGGCTACAGATATGTTCTTGCCAGCCGTTTTCAATAAGTTCGTTCAGGTACGGCGTCTGCAGCATTCAAGTATCCAGCAGTTATAAGAAAATTGGAAGATCCCGCAGAGATGGTTACAAGATGAACCTGAGGCAGAAAGTGGAAAATCGCAAGAGACGGAGAGAACGGCAGAAAAAAGACAGGAAGATCGTGAAAGCGGTACCGGTACTGTTCAAAACGCACCTGAGGGAGACACAAGCCCTGACTCGGATGGCACAACACGGGAACACCGACGCGGAAAAGTACAAAAGCGAAACTTAAGACCGCGTCCCTCTCGGGGTAGAAGGCGTTAACTATGTAAGCACTTGTGAGTATCAATCAAGATCATGTGTTGTTGACATATATACTTACCTGCCGAGATCTTTTGTAGAACACAGCTGCTGTCGTCTTGTTGACATTCTTACCTGCCGAGATCTTTTGTAGAACACAGCTGCTGTCGTCTTGTTGACATTCTTACCTGCCGAGATCTTTTGTAGAACATAGCTGTTGTCGTCTTTTCTCGACACCGCTCTGAGCCTTAAGCGCTTCATGTACTTTTCGAAGAACTCGACAGATCTATTAAAAGTATTCATTGAAAAACATGGAAAATAGATCTCTTGCTGACTTATTGACACCATCATCCACAATTTACCAGCCCAGAACTTTACCTTATTTTATTTTATGAAATTTGATTGTACTATGATTTGGTTTGATATTTTGATATTGTTTCTGTTTTTGCTCTGATATTGAGTACACACACACTACTAAGTGGTTAATTAGTTGCCTTGTTTTGTGTTGATTTCCTATTGTTTATCATTATTATTGATTTTGTTTGTACTATGATTTGGATTGATATTTTAATGTTGTTTCTGTTTTGTTTGGATACTGAGTACACACACGATACAATGTGGTTAATTAGTGCCTTGATTGCCGGCTCCCGATTGGCCCCGGTGACTGTTGGGAATGCCTTGTTTACACACCTGGTCACAGAACACCTGCGCGTGGTATGGTATGTAAATATCGATTATTTTCCTCTCTTCATTGTTAATGTGGGCAAATCATTTCTAGAACTACCTTCAACAACTTTCTCATGGCTAAATCGGAACTACAAATAGCCAGTTTTAATTGCAATGGAATAGGAAACAAACGTAAAAGGAAAGAAGTTTTACGTGGTTGTCGGAAAACCCTTTGAAATCATTTGCCTTCAAGAAACCCACTCTGAGGCTGACGATGAAAATGCGTGGGTCTCAGAATGGGGAGGATCCATTGTATTTTCTCATGGTTCAAGTAGTAGTAAAGGTGTGTCGATATTATTTAAGAGAGGTTTGGATTACGAAATTAATGACAAAATAGTTGATAAGGAAGGACGATGGATAGTGTTGGACATAATGATCGATGACTGTAGGTTATGTTTGGTCAATGTGTACGGTCCAAACAGGGACGATCCGGACTTTTTTGCGGAAGTAGAGAGAGTCATACAAGGCGTAGACATTGCTATTGAAAACTTAATTATAGTTGGTGATTTCAACACCGTGCTGGATAATAAAACAGATAGAGCTGGACAGAGGGTGCAAAATTATCACCCCCAAGCACAGGAAAAGATTTTAGACATAATGAACACATTAGACCTTGTAGACATCTGGAGAATTCGCAACCCACGAGCCACTCGTTACCCGTGGCGAAGAAGAAAACAGGCAAGCAGAATAGATTATTTCCTGGTATCCTTCTCTCTGCTGTCCAAAATTTCTAAAACAGTTATAGCAGACCGCTTTAGATCAGATCACAACCTTATAGGTTTGTCACTTGCTCTGTCTGATTATCCCCGGGGGAAAGGTTATTGGAAACTGAACACTTCATTACTGCTAGACTCCATGTATCTAAAAGAAACCGAAAAATTTATTAAGGATTTTTTCTTTGACAATATAGGTTCGGCGGATCCGCAAATAGTTTGGGATACTTTTAAGTGCTGTATCCGGGGTCATACCATTAGATATTCCTCATGGAAAAAAAGCCAATATACTGCTAAAGAGAAAGAGCTTACGGAAGAAATAAACGAACTAAAAGATAAGATAGATGATGACCCTTCCCCTTCCTCAGAATTCCTCGAGCAGTACGAGTGCAAACAAAAGGATCTTGAAATGTTATATCGCGAAAAGACAGACAGGCTAAATTTTCTATCTAGATGTAAATGGATGGAGTCAGGGGAACGTTGTTCCAAATATTTTTTAAATCTCGAACACAGGAATTATGCTAGGAAAAATGTATTGAGATTAAGAAACTCTGATGGATGCGTCCTCACAAACCCTGATGATATCATTCGTATGGAAACTGACTTCTTTTCGACATTGTACTCATTTCAAGAACCTCCACCCTCTCACGGAGGAAACATGTGAAGTATTTTCTT